AGCATCTGGTGCACCGGCGGCAGCCCACCTGGACCATCAAGGAGGTGAACAAGCAAGCGGTGTATGAGTTTGAGTCGGCCGCCCGGCAGTTCATGGTGAGCACCCTGCGTGTGGCCAAGAGCTTCCGCCCCAAGCAGCTCTGGGGCTTCTACCTCTTCCCTGACTGCTACAACCATGACTACAGCAAGAACAAGGAAAGCTACACTGGGCAAACCGGCGGCAGCCCACCTGGACCATCAAGGAGGTGAACAAGCAAGCGGTGTATGAGTTTGAGTCGGCCGCCCGGCAGTTCATGGTGAGCACCCTGCGTGTGGCCAAGAGCTTCCGCCCCAAGCAGCTCTGGGGCTTCTACCTCTTCCCTGACTGCTACAACCATGACTACAGCAAGAACAAGGAAAGCTACACTGGGCAATGCCCAGACGTGGAGAAGACACGCAATGACCAGCTGGCATGGCTCTGGAGGGAGAGCATGGCCCTCTACCCCTCCATCTACCTCGACCTGCTCCTGGCTTCTACTCCCAACAGCCGCAAATTTGTGCGGGCACGGGTGATGGAGGCCATCCGCATCTCGCAGCAGCACCACGACGGCTACTCCCTGCCTGTCTTTGTCTACACTCGACCCACCTACATCCGCAAGCTGGATGTGCTCAGCCAGGTAGGGCCATGCCACTGGGACATCCTCATCCCAAGCCCTGGGCTCGGGTCAGCCAAAGTGGTCTCTCTGCCCATGTTCCATCCCAGTCCACAGAGTGGGATGGCTCTGGAGGCAGGTGGCTGCTCTCATGGTGTCAACAGCACCCCATGGTTTGGCTGTCCCCATGTGGGGTGGGCAGCAGCATCCTTAGGCATGGGTCTGGCCCTGCCTCCCTCCTTTCAAGGCAGGAGTCATGTTATGGGGACCCCCAGCTCAGCCCCTCTTATGGGCAAAGTGTCTGGTAGCAGGACTGGCACCAATGGTCACTGTCACCAGGCAGGTGCCTGGGAGGCACTCCAGGACTGCTGGGTCCTGGAAGCCAGGACCACAGGGTATGTGAGCCCACAGCCCCTGTGCTGCGCTGGCTTAGCCCCTGCGGCGAAAGGCAGCATTGGGAAGCCTTGTCCCCAAGGAGCTGGGACAGTCCCCTCTCCCCGTGGCCAGGAGCAGGGATGGGTCTTGCCTCCCAGACCCTGCAGCGGGCTCTTTGAGGTGCACTATGCTGGGGGGGTATGGGTGCTTTGTGGGGTCTATGGGCACTAACTGGGCTCTGTCCCCACAGCCGGACCTGATCTCCACCATCGGAGAGAGCGCGGCACTGGGTGCAGCTGGGGCCATCTTCTGGGGCGATGCAGACTACACTAAAAACCGGGTAGGTTTGGGGTCAGCGTGCCCCTGGGGAGGTAGATGATGAGTGGAGGGTCATCTGCCCCCAGAGGGGGACCAGTGGCTCACGGCTGGGATGGATTCTCCATCTGGGATGCTTTTCTCCCTGGGGCACCCAACACACCCCTAATGCCCCCCTTCCCCCAGGACTCATGCCAGATCATCAAGAACTACCTGGAGGAGGACCTGGGCCGCTACATCGTGAACGT